TTATAATGTTGTTCTTTTTTAATTCCAGACTTTGCATTTTAATGATGTGTTTGGCGAACCTGATGGAGTCCATAGTATTGATTGTGTGTGGAAATTATCTGCTAAATGCTTTGACTGCTGGAAGCTTCTCACATACAACTTGTCTATGGCATCTGTATTGCAGCTGAGTGGGGATGTGAGTTCGCCTATATTGCTTTCTGGCATATATGGATCATTTCACCGTTTATGAAGATTTTTGAAATTAATTGTGGACTTTGTCAAAGAATATATGCTTCATGCGTTAACTGTTGTGTTGTACCATGGTGTGAGGCATGTGGAACTATATTCCATGCCTTCAAACGATAAACAATCAATCTTATCAATCTCCTTTACTTTAAGACTTTTTAATAAGAAATTTCAACTTTTCATTAAACTATAATATGTACGTTTAGATTTATGAATGATGTTAGATATCATTTGTTAATGATAGTATTAAATAAATAAACAATATATGTTAACAAGCTCACAATGTCACAGAGTGAAATAGAATATGAATATTAATTTCAATTTATATTGCTTTCATGCAAATAATACAGACGGGAGCATTACTTACGTATACATTTTTTTATTCAACTCGTATTTGTCGCTACTGTAAACGTGTATAAAGTGTTACCCTTTCAAGATTGGAGTTGAAATTGATTTTTGCTGGCTCAATGTTCAATGGCAAGTAAAGCTAACAATAAATTCATTAGTTAGGTTATTCAAAGATAGGCGAATAGGGGGAAGGGCTGGATTTTCGACTGCCACTGAAAAAAGATATCTTGGATACGGACAAAATTGTTTTCTTGAAACAGACCCCTTAGGAACTCCACTCCAACGATTTCTTGAAAGTATTCTTTTATGTGCATATAACTGTCCCTTCACGAGGCATTAAATCTAACGTCCCCATCAAACGTTGAAAATGCGATTATAACCGATCGCAACTGCAAACAGATATGGAAACACTTCAAAGATCTAAATCACTCGGCCAAATACAATATCACCAGTCTAAAACAGATAATAGTTATATTACAAATTTGACAGATATTGTTCAACATCTGAATGATCCCTTTAGTTCTATAGGTCATATCTTAGTGCCTAATCCCCAAACCACTTTCTCTTCAGACTGTTTAGCATCGTTTGTGAAGAGAAGAATAAGCGAAAATGTCTCCTCTTCCCTTTATTCTGTTTCAAAATGAACTTTTTAAACAAGATGTAAACAAGTCCACAGGGCTTGAAGAAATAGGACCTCGTACACTTAAACTATTTCCACCAATTGTATCTGAGTCGCTTGAACATATTATTAACCTAAGTCTCTGTACAGGTATCTTTTCCTGTAAGCTGCGGGAAGCTAGGGTTATATCTCTCCACAAGGGTGGTGATGCAACTGATGTAAACAATTATTGTCGTGGGATCCGAGCATAACATAACAAGATATGAACAATATATGTTATTTGATATAACTCATCAGCATTTATGCTGGTGCGGCAAATTATACACAAAGTATAACAATAATAAATAATTAAAAACCAATTGTTCAGAGAACAATTAAAGGTCTTTCCACATCAATTTTCAAAGTTTTTGAAAAGAAGCTAGTTCCGGTTTACTCAAAGTTAAAATAGGCATCCAATCATAAGTTTCTTCATACTGATGCGATAAATAAATGGTTTCTATATACTTTTGAGTGAAATAAGGGAGATAATGTGCTACTTCCGGTGAAGTAAATGTCACTTCCGGATAGCTTCTTTCACACTGATTCCAAAAATATATAGTTTCTAGATACTTTTGCCTGTAGACCAGGAGATAATTGGCACTTCCGGTTTGTCGAAAGTCACTTCTGGTCTTCAGTGATAAGTTTATGTATTTATATTACAAGATATATGGATTCCGAGTACTTTTCCATGAAAAAAGTGCAAACATGGCTACTTCCGGTTTTCTCAAGGTTACTTCTGGTTGTCATTTTTCAAGGTCATGTGTCACCCAACCTTTTATAGAAGGTCATATGGCTTTATAATGAACAAAGTTGAAGTAATAATCAATTAACCTTATATTAAGACATTTCAGGGGCACTAACTCCTATAAGATGCCATTAGATTGTTTCAAACTAAATCTTCATTACAATAAAGCAAACATTTTGCACTTGTTCTTTTATATATATATTTAAAAGTATCGGAGAAAATGCCAAAACAAGGAATATTCTAAATTGAGAACTTGACCTTGACATTTGACCTTGACCTCATTTTCTAAGTTAGGACCTAGGGGCCTCAAAAAAAAGATTCTAGGGTTATACGGTTAACGGTTTATGAGTTAAAAAAACATACCGAGAAATTTATTTGGTAAAGGTAGATAACTCCTATAAAGTTTCATCGAATCGCTTCATTGCGAAACAAAAATTTATCGCAAGAACAAAATTGGCGGAAGAAAAAAAAATAATAATAATAATCAGAACAAATACAATAGGTCTTTCCACAGAAAAGTGGAAAGACCTAATTAATGCAATCAATATACAATCAAACCATGTGGTTGAAGTGATGATACAGAACGTGTGTAATGATGCACGTTACGTCATCAGTTCATAATGAGGTACATATAAAACATGGGATGGTTCAGTACTTCATATTGGTATTCAGCACCACAATATCTATACTCTAAACCGTTTCCAAAATGTTTTGAAAAAAATGGTATTTAAGCAATTATCTGCACATTTCGTAACATTAACCCGTCTTTTATGGCAGAAATTGGGCTTTAGATCTGGACATTCATGTACGTAACACTGCCCTCTTTAAATTAATTGATGCATGGCAAAGCGAAATGGATAAAGGGAATTTAACTTGTGCTCTTTTTCTAGACTTTAGGAAAACATTTGATTTGGTTAATCCTCATATTTTACTAAGCAAGTTAAAAATATATCACTGTGATGATCATGCAGTTGATTGGTTTAAATCTTATTTATCAGGAAGATTTCAGTAATGATCACAGATACTGAATCTAATTTCAGAGATGTTCAATCAGGAGTTCCACAGGTACCATACTAGGACCTTTACTTTTTATAATATTTATCAATGATTTATCTCTTTCGATTGAAAATGATTCTTCTGAACTTTATGCTGATTATACAACACTATATATGTCATCTCCATCAGTAACAGATTTAAATGCAGTTATGAATGTAGATTTTTGTAATGTAATGATAATGATATGATATTGAATAGAGATAAGACTAAGATCATGTTAATTCGGTCTAATAGACAAAATGTTTTTGCAACACAATTAATTATCAAATTTGATGATGACCATTTAATAGACGTCGTTCATAATAAAAAAAAACTGCTAGTAATCCATATTGATAAATCTCTTTCGTGGGAAAATCAAATTGACAAACTTTGTTCAGTAATTGTAAGCAGACTGCATCTTATTGGCCGACTTAAATCATATATTCCAGAATGTGTTCTCAAACTATATTATAATGAATAAAGATAATCCCGTAACAATACTGTATCATTTACCTTTCGCTTGTTTGACATCGTCTATCGATAACAATGATTTTGCGCTCACTCAGTCTGTCAGAGGCCTTCTAGTGGGGATTTAAATAATCATTAATTTTGTTACACATTTCGATACACAAAATGAAACTTTCTTTTCACAAAACTTTAAAGGAATTTGTTTTTAAATATTCTTTTTATCAGCACAAACAACAATTTCATTTTAGAGAATAACAAATGTTCAGAGCTAATATCATTAAATAATCGAAAAATACATTTACACATTTCGATTTTCATTATAAAAAGTTTTAAGTTGATGGGGTTAATTCACAATATATCTTAAGAGAAAAAAGTTGTCCCACGTGTCTATTTTACCAAAGATAGTTATAGTCAGAAACTAAATTGCAGTACTCGTCGATATATCATTCTTGTATCTCACGAATTTGGTCTTTTACTTACAAAACTTATTTTCTTGTAACGTATTCTATTGTTGAAGAATGTATGTTGCCCGTTATTAATTTTTTGTCGTTTGTTTATGTCTCATTGACGTATAAGACAAAATCGGATCCCCCTTTCTTCATATTTAAAAAAATACAATGTGACATCAATACCAATTCATAACACAAAATAACTAAGTTAAACTAACAACAGAAGAAAGATAGGAATCGGAGGTAGAAAAACACTGAATGTTTTCATTGGATTTCGGTTATTTTAAGTAATGAATTTGTGATATTTCATCTGTTTTTTTATTGTCTCCGTTTGCAACCATTCAAACGGAATACAAGCGTATATGTAAATTAACATGTACATTTCATTATCAAAATGGTTGCAGTGTAAAATTCCATCAAACAACTAAAATGCATAAATAAAAAAAAGATAATGCAATAATTACAAAAAAAAAAACCCGAAATTTTGCAAAAAAAACCCACATTTTTTGGCCAAAATTCCAAAATATTTGTCAAAACAAAACACAAAAATAATTTGTTGTCAATAAAGTAGCAAATCATTCAAAATTAATGTTTTATACAGTATTTAAAATGTAAATTAGAAAAAAATATAATATAAATACCGGTGGTCGTTGTACATATTAAGATGACCCTTTTCAAAAATGTTACCTGTCGTCATACGCATAGATGTAAGCGTCGGTATTGAATAGTTTTCGAAAATGTCTAAAAGAGTATTCTAGCTCTTTGTACTTTAGGACATTCCTTAAAACGCTTTATATAATTGTACCAGTTTTCTGGATTTACCCCTATATTTTTATGAACGATTAAAGCCCAAAAATAAGGAATGCAAAGGATGTATAACTCCCGAAACACATGAAAAGCTATATGACCCAAGGGACCTAAAATTAATAGCAAAACCCATTCAAATCAACTTTGCCTGAGGGAATTTCAATTTTCGTTTCACAATAATTTCCGAATTTATCAGCGTTATATGTGATGTTTTGAAAAACAGAAACACAGCTCTCGATTTGAAATTAATATAGTAAGCAGACAATTCATGCAGACAAATATTTATTTGAAACAATGTTTACATATATTAAGATAATCTTATTTAAAATATAACGATAGAAAAATATATAGCTATTAATGATATTTTAAAACAAGTCATAGGGTACATGGTGTCTACGATTATTCATAAACAAGCCTGTTCAGTATGTATCAAAAATTGTTCAATATTTGGAGTATAGAGATGCTTTTTCCTCAAAACAAAGATTCCACAATACAGATTTGAATGTTGCACAATATTCCGACGTTTCAACCACTGACGCTTCCTAGATAACACTTACTTCACATTCGGAACTTGACACCTATACCTGACTGGATTATCATCAGTTGCACACGTGCAGTCACAAGGAATTCCAGTACAATTGAACGGAAATGATACTCCTGAACCGTGACAATTACCATGAATATCCGTACACTCTACATAATAAAATCATATAATTGACTAACCGGTGTTTTTGCAGATTATAGACAATAAGCAACGCAGAAATATGGAACGCCACAGCTGTCTTATGTGGAACTCTGATATTACTTTATGTTGTTTTATTATAACTTGATGATATTTTGTCTTTACTTAATATGGTTTTGACATTACGTAATGATGTTTTGATATAACTCAATATGGAATAGTCATTACTTAATGATATTTCGATATTACACGATATGGTTTCGTATTGACTTGATATAGTTTTGTCATTACTCAATATGGTTTTGTCATTACTCGATGTGGTTTCACCATTATTTAATGTGGTTGTGTCATTAGTCAATGTGGTTTTAACATTACTTGATGTGAATGTGACTTAACGTTATGTAGTTGTTTCATTACGTGATGTGGTTTTGATATTTCGTAATGATGATTTGCCTATTCTTTATTAGTATTAACATTACGTAATGATGTTTCAAAATTTGACGATTTTACACTACATGGTGTGTTTGTTTCATTATTTGATGCGGTCCTGTCATTCTTTGATGTGGTTATCCCATTACTTGATGAGGTAAAACCACGTGACCAATTCGGAAAAAATATGTTCTATTTTTAAATAGATTTCAATATATCGTTTGTTTAATGTGCTTTGGATGGGTATCGCTATATAAATCCATTGAGTTAAAGTTCAAATTAAAGTTCGAGTGGTTGTTCAGAGTTATTTGGTATGAAAAGGGGGAACGGCAGACAATAATAAGAAAAAAAGTATTAAAATGTTTACAGTATTTCGGACATAATTGGGATATCCCCAAACCACTTGGTCCTGTTGTTTTTATCCTAAGTTCTCAAACGGAAGCAGTATTTTTGTAATAAATTTGTAAAATATTCCACGGAACCCTACAGATGTCTCGCCTGATATTGCTGCTGTAAGTGTAAAAGCGTCATGTTGATCGGCTGTACATTTATCTATACATTTATCGGTAAAAAAAAAAAATTAAAAAAAAAAATGTTTTTCTGTAGATGCTTTTTCTTGAAATTGAGGAATAACTCCTATACAAGTTTTAAAACACTTCATGGAGGTTTACAAATTTATCATGTCAAAACAGTTTAATTCGGTTTTATTTAACTAAAACAAAACTGTATGGTTTTCAACAATGAGCAAAACCCATACCCTGTAGTAAGCTATAAAAGGTCCCGAAATGAAAAATGTAAAAAACTAGAAACCTAACGATCTATAGATATATAGATAGATACTTTATTCTCTAAAAACTAAATACAAGTTTACAGAGAAACATACAATATAAATACAGATACAATAGTCGAGGTAAACAAATACAGTATGATATTCTAAAAGTACAAAATTATGATGGCATACATGTTTAGTAACATGTATAATGAAGAGTTAAACTCAATAGAAATAAAAAAATGGAGATGGAGACGCCGACGCCACTATCGACGACGAAATATAGGTTTGTTGTGTCTCACTGCCGCTACATTGATGTCGCAGGCTCGACACAAATAAAAAACTTGAACTTTATTGTTAACAAATGAAACACTTCAAATCAACTCATACTAAAGTTACAGGGAAACGGGGGGAGGGGGGCTCGGACTAAGCGACAAAGCATCAATACTATAAAATAAGAATTTTCCGAATTTTTTTTAGCGTAAATGATCATTTGAACTTATACGAATATAAATCTTTTATTTGTAATCAATTGAATTCCCTGATCTACCTCGCACTAATTGAAAAATAAACTTTTTGGAATATCTCTTTCACATGTGACGACGGACATGTTCCAGTTGTCGTAACCATAATACCGTCATCTTTTCCTTGAATGTAAACTACCAAATTAAACCAAATCACTGGGTTTGTACTTTCTCGAATAACACGACGGGTGCCTTTCTGGAGCATCCGAGATCACCCCGATGGATTTATATTACCCAGTCATACCGATCTGTTGAATCAGCCAAATGAAACTGTTTTGTATGCCACCGCAACTGAAAGTTGGGGGACATATTGTTTTACCCCTGTCCGTCCGTCCGTCCGTCCGTCCGTCCGTCCGTCCGTCCGTCCGTCGGTCTGTCCGTCCGTCCGTCCGTCTGTCCGTTCGTCCGTCTGTCCGTCCTATTATGGGTATATAGTTATTCCGCATAACTCCTCCTACAGTTTGAATCCTAGGAAGTTTTCTCTTTACTGTCTGTTTGTACATATACTGAAGGTGTGCATGTGGTCAGGGTTTTTATTTTTATTATCTTTTGCTCTTTTGGGAGATAATTGAACTTTTTTTTTGTCGTTTTTGGGGTATAAGCGGTTAAATGAGTTGAGTGCGGGGGCATCACTTTGTCTAGTTTACATTTTTTTTTTCTCGTGTTGTGCTGTTACACAACTGTAACAGTCCGATGTAAGGTTAGGATTTAGCGCTCACATACATGTAAAACGCCGCCACGTGCACTTTCTTTATGTACCTGCCCCAAGTCAGGAGCATGAAGTTCAATTGTTGTCGTTGTATAAATGTGTGTCATTTTTTTTTGTAGATTGTTTATTTATAAATAAGACCGTTTGTTTTTTCGTTTGAATTTTTTCACATGGTGCATGGTGGCCTTTTGTAGCTGACTATACGGTGTGTTGAAGGCTGTACGGTTGCCTATATACGATTTCTTACATCCACTGCATTTAAACTCTGGTGGATAGTTGTCTCATTGTCAATCACACCACATCTAACTTTATTTCAACTTCTATGTTGCGTTTTGTATACTGTAACATTGTTTATCTTTTGTACGCATACCCCGGAGCCCTCTTTTTGGAAGCCCGAGCAAAAGTCCTTGTTCCGAGATAGAAAATTTAATTACGAACCCATATAAGATAGCTCGAATTTCAACTCAAAATCTTAATTAATCTAAATGAGACTTAAATTCGAATCTTACTCAAACTCTATCTCAAAAAGTGACTCAAATTTAATGTTGTAACTAGAACTCTACCTTTAAATGTGACTCAAACTCGAAGTACAACTCGAAACTCAATGCTAACTAAAACTTTAATTCTAATAATGACTTGAATTCGAAATCGAAGACTAACTCAAAGTTTAACTCAAACAGTAACCCGAACTTTAATTTGAACTCTAATTCGATGGATGGCCACACTCATCCAAGGCACAAACAACATGTAAATCTATCTAAAATTAGAACAGGTTTTTCCGAACTAGTCACGTGATTTTACCTCCTCAAGTAATGGGATAACCACATCAAAGAATGACAGAACCACATCAAATAATGAAACAAACACATCATGTAGTGTAAAATCGTCAAATTTTGAAACATCATTACGTAATGTTAAAACCATATAAAGAATAAGCAAATCATCATTACAAAATAACAAATCCACATCATGTAATGAAAACAACTACATAACGTCAAGTCACATTCACATCAAGTAATGTTAAAACCACATTGACTAATGACACAACCACATTAAATAATGGTGAAACCACATCGAGTAATGACAAAACCATATTGAGTAATGACAAAACTATATCAAGTCAATACGAAACCATATCGTGTAATATCGAAATATCATTAAGTAATGACTATTCCATATTGAGTTATATCAAAACATCATTACGTAATGCCAAAACCATATTAAGTAAAGACAAAATATCATCAAGTAATAATAAAACAACATAAAGTAATATCAGAGTTCCACATAAGAGAGCTGTGGCGTTCCATACAGAAACTTCATATTAAATCTTATTGATGTGTGTATATTTTCGTTAAGACAATTTTAATAAAGTACTACCACTTGATTCCAAGGGACAGGGTTTTATGGTGTTTTTTTTATCAAAAAAGAAAACATAAGAAAAGAATGTTATAAATTTCGAATGAAAAAAGAAATTGAATAGAATAAAATAGTTAAAAAAAAAGAGTTGTCATCTGTCAGTGACTTTGCTGAAGAAATAAAAGACGGCACTGATCACTAAACTTAATGTAAAGAATGAAAGAAACCATTATTATTTCACGTTTCGACAACAATTCGTGTCTCATCGCTAATGGTGTGAGTTAACTCATCCTAGATACGAGAATTAAAATTTTGTACGCCAGACTCGCGTTTCGTCTACAAAAGACTAATCAGTGACGCTCGAATCAATGACGACATACCCCCTCCCCCGTTTCATTGGAAAAATAAATCTTGGTGCAAATGATTGTTTTGATTTTTAACGGGATATCAAGAAATCAGATAGTTGTTATGGTTAGGTGTTAAAGTGCGCTGTTATAGATATTTTGAGTTTGTACTTACATGAGCAACATGACTCGTGCTGCAAGTAAAGCAGAATCTGTTTACCCTTCTGGAGCACCTGAGATCACACACGATTTTCGCTGGGGTTCGTGTAGCTCAGTCTTTAGTTATCTATGATGCGTTTTGTATACTGTTGTTTTTCTTTTGGTCGTTTTTTGTTTTTTGACATGGCATGGTTGGTTTGTTTTTGACTTTTGCGTTCGAATGTCATTTGGAATCTTTTTGCCTCTATTTTTAGAATCAAAACTGACCTGATATGCATACGCCAAAACTCTTTATAATAAAATGTATATACATTTCGTGCATCCGAAGGTTTTGACAGTTGGATGCACGAAATGCGATACAGCTCCTAACGTTTATACGCATTCATACATCCGGCTTACAAAAACTTCGGATGCACGAAATTTCTATACATTTAAATAAATCCAAGAATTTCCCATATGACAGTCATTATTATTTATTATAGGGGGAAAGGGACATTTGAAACATGTTTGCATAATTATGATTATGATGACTTTAAGGGAGACTTTTCTAAGGCTTGTTCATCAGATTGATTGATTAATTGATGTGTGTTTAACGCCACTTTCAGCGCTATTGTGCTATTCCGTGGAGGAAGCCGGAGAGAATCAATAGGACTTCAATAAGAAAACTGACAACCCTTGTCAATCAAGATTGAAGTCGATCACACAACCTCAGTGTTGACAGACCAGTGATACAAAAAAATATTGTTCGACTACTTAGACTACACCGTGGCCCTTTGTTCATCAGATTTCCCCATATTAAGCATACGGAAATATTATAATCTGTTGATATATCTTACCTTGTCGTATTCTAATTGGTTCGCAAATGTATGTGCCGTTACTGTAAACTACTTTACATGTATAAGTACCACATTTTTCTACCCATTCTTGACCCTTTTCAAAACATTTATCTCCATGTTCGCACCCTAAAATAATTATTGATAATAATTACTTAGTATGTGAATGATTCGAAACAAACCTATTTGAACCCGTTAACAAAATTTAAGCTAAAGCTAACTTGATATCAACTTAAGTTATCAAAATTCAAATCGGCTCGTTTATTACTATATTGACGTTAAATATCCAGAGTTGATATCAAGCGATATCCAATTTTCACAAGCTGTTAAACTTTTTTCGTACCACTTATCCCATATCCAAAACACTTTAAACATTGTCAAAAACCAAATTGAGGTACGATTTCTTTACTGTTAAACTCATAGTTGTGTCAAGTATTATATGGTTATTATGAATTATTTTTATGACATGTCATAACTGAGAAATCATAATTTGTTACAAATATTGAAATTAAGTGTCATGTTTCCTATAGAGCCATATGTTTTTGTTTTGATGTCTTTTTGATCGAGTTAAGCCATTTCAATTGATATTTTATAGTGTGTCTTTTTGATCGAGTTAAGCCATTTCAATTGATATTTTATAGTGTGTCTTTTTATGTTGTAATGTTACACTACTGTATCAGGTAAGGTTGAAGGTTGGTGCCTGTCAAAACGTTTGAACCTGCTGCATTTTAATGCACCTGTCCTAAGTCAGGAGCCTATTGTTCAGTGGTTGTTGGTGTGATTCATAGGTGTTTCTCGTTTCTCGTTTTTTATATAGATTAGACCGTTGGTTTTCCTGTTTGAATTGTTTTACACTAGTCATTTTGGGGGCCCTTTATAGCTTCCTGTTCGGTGTGAGCCAAGGCTCCGTGTTGAAGGCCGTACTTTGACCTATAATTGTTAACTTTTTATACATTGTGACTTGGATGGAGAGTTGTCTCATTGGCACTCATACCACATCTTCTTATTCATATATATGATTATTTTGTGAAGAAATTCATATTTGTCTTGAAACAGTGATTTTCCTAAAATATAAATCATAAATATATTTCATGATTATTGCAAGAAACTGCAGACATTTCTGTATCTAAGGTGAATCATCACAATATATTTCCTCAGATAGAATTTTCTTATACTTTGCCAAAATGCAGATTTTATGCATGATTTTTTAAAAACTATAATAAAAGTATGGGTTACCGTGCTATTTTTCAAGCTACTAATCGTGCAAAATTGTCCAATTATTTATGAATAACACTTGTTTGCGAATAAAAAGAAATTTATGATACGAAACTTTAAAATAGATGTAAGAGGATAGGTTTAATAGGCTTTAAGAAAATAAAAATAAAAAAATGATGTCCCCAAGCTTGTTTTCTTGCTATAAGAAAAATATGAGAATTAATTTTCATTAACATGCCTTTATAAAATGTTTGCTATAAGAGTTACCTCCCCTTAAATGACTTAGTTGGAAAATAAAACAAATAATAATTTTGATAATTGTTAAAACAGCCTTACAATTGCAATAAATCACTTATTTTTCTTTATTTGAATAAACAGTCTAACACATTAATTGCCAATCTGTCTCAAAACTTGCAGATTAAAGCAAAGAACTAGAGCGACTGTGTTCTGCCCTTTTGCATCCAAGATGTCGGTATACAGTGAATATACCTTAATGATAAAAAAAAAATAATTCCATTTCCGATGGACAAAAAATATCTTCAGTAGAATTTTTAATAAAATTGTGTTTTTATATATAATAACAGGAGAACATAAGACTGTAGATAACATGCCACCCACAAGATAAATAATCGTAACTACATAATTATTACATTTATATCTGTGATCCATTGGTAGTCAGAAAAAAAAGATAAAGATATAAAAAAAAATGTATGCGGTTTGAATCTGCATTCTCTCTTGGTAAGACGACAGCAAGGTAGCAGGACTTATAATTGTATCCACACATGTTCATGCATAAAGAACCAAGAACTAATGAAGTACTAGAAGCACATGTTAAAGCTGATCAGAGTAAAAGAAAGCCGAAATGTTTGACAAATTACTAACATCTGCAAAAGTAAGTCGATTATATGTGTATGTCCATAAAATTCAAAATATGAACATTCAAATAGCGGAAACTGCATTTTAATCCCAGGTCCCGTTTACTAATCTGGTTGCAAATTCGAATTATTTTACTAGTGCGTCCAATAAATGAGCTGTAAATACTGTGACTTATGTGTTCACATGTATATGGTGAGTAAACAAGAGGTCACTGACGAGTCTTTTGTAGACGAAACGCGCGTTTTGCGTTACAAAATTATAAGTCGTATCTATGATGAGATTTTTTTGTACATTTTCTAGTTTTTTTCTGTTATGCGAAAGAAAATATGTCTGTAATGGCGGGAAAGTGTTTTTTTTTATATAAATCATTTTCGTATGATAAAATGGATAATCTCTAAATATTCTAAGTACTAATAGTTTTGTAAAACTAATCATGTTTTCTTGCATGTTGTCAGATTTTTGTTACTAGTTAATTCTTTGATTCCCATGAATTCATCGATTGCAATCGCTTTATTTGTTTTTGAACGACATACATTTTAAACGCATTCGCTACACTACATTGATAACTATTCTTATTTAAAGAGATTTTTCTTTTCTATTCACCTCGTCTCCTCATTTTATGTAATTTGATAAATATGTTCTCAGTCTGGACCTTACTTTGTACTTACGTGGCACTTTTACCTCCGATATATACCATACAGTATTGTTTTTAAATTTAACGTCACATTTATATGTTTGACATCCCGATTGCCACTCACTATCTATTCTGTAACAAGTACCATTGAATACACAGCCTAAAATAATAAACCTTTTTAAGCAAGATGGTTGTCTTTTTTCTTTTCTTATGTTAAAGTCATATGATACTTCAATTAAAAAAAAGATGAGTATGTTTTACATACTTGAATTGCTAAGTTTTACTATAAAACTATGTTTTAAAAGAAAACCCAGCTAAACATCGCACTATCGTCCCACTTATTTCTCACGTGTGCCATGCTTCTGTGATGATTGTTTATCAATGTAACGATTCGGCAAACTTCGGCAACAAAGCTAGAAAATTAATTAGAAGTTAAATTTTTTATCAACAGTCACCGAATGAAATATTTTTCGTCGCTTATACGTTTGGATTTGACATAAATGTAAAATGAAGAGCACACATATAACTGAATTTAGTGTATATACATTGATTGGTTCAATAATTTCATTAACATAATATATACCAGAAACTCGTTTCATAGGACTTTTAGTTGAGAACAATTTTAAATTCTGAGTCACGATATAGTCGTTTCGCGCTGACGTAACCCGAATAATTCAGTCGTTATATTCCACTGCTCTACGATGGCTACATTAACAAGTGAGTGGGAGAGTCGATCACGGGGAGGAACTGAATTATTCGAGTTAGCGCTGACGCGACGTTTCGCAATTATCGGTCAAATAATCAATAATCAATTAATCGATGAACCAATCAATCAAGCAATCGATCAAGTATTCAATTCTATCATAAAAATTAAGACAAAACAAGCGAAATTACTGTCGGGTTGATGCTTGATCCAATAACATAATTTAACAGCTTATATGTTCATTTACATCTCAAACACATATGGAGTATACAATTATCTTAAATTATTTTATATTCCTCAGGCTAAAATAGTTAATGAATAGTAAATAATACTTTGAGTTGTTCTTTGTTGTCCTTATGTTGTATATATTTTACGTTAATTGGATTAAAACAAAAACCCAACGAAACTAACTAGTGATTCAGGTTAGTTTATAAGTTACCCGAATTTACTGTTATTAGTGTATCATTCTGGCAAATATATCTTTGACATGGCCGATTAGGATGATCCAACACTTGTCCTTCCATCATATCGCCTATTTCGTTGTTGTGACATGTAGCTGTATTTAAAAAGGTTTATCATATGTTCTGATTATTTAACCTGTTTCCACTTGATGATATAAACTGTACACATATTCTAATAATAATAATTTACATTCTACAATGGTGATTTTTTGTAAAATATGAAATTGAAAACATGCGTAGTTTTTTCAAGGAACAGGGAAGATTCTTTACGACACATAACGGGACAAGATCGTATTGTATTGAAATAGCGCCAAGTGTTAGAAGTCTTCTTAGCATAAATACTTTGTGCGTTTCATACATTCAAATAATTAACTAGGTGACTGTTTTTTTTTTTTTCTTAGATGAAATGAAATATCATCATTTGGATGTTCCTGGTGATACTTTATCGCGTGTATATTGGCAGATAGCGAGCGAGAGGGGGGGGGGAGAGATGTGGGATGAAGGTTGACTATGGTAAGGGGTTTTACCTTCAGTCTGTGAAATCTCCAATGCAATGGTTACCAAAAGGAAGAATGCTTTCGACATCTGAAAAGAATCGTTTTCCTTTGTTTGAGTAATATGAATAGCATTGCATCAGTCGAATTAATAAACTAAAGGTAATAAAGCGTTATATCTAACCTCAAAACCATGCATTTCTGAAATTTTTCAGTTTTGATATATTTACATGCTATTGTCAATTAGGTTTATAGTCGAAGGTACTAAGTAGTATAAAAAAAAAAGAAATACGGTGTGCTTGCCAACTTCACACCTATCTATACAAAAAAAAATTAAAAAAACACCGGGGTAAACATTAAGAGTTTCAAAGATTTCTATATAAGTAAACAAAATAATGAGATATGGTATGATTGCCAATGAGCAAACTATCCATCGGAGACTAGATGACGTAGATGTAAGACACTATAGGTCACCACACGGCCTTCAACAGTGAGCAAAATTCATACTGCATAGCAAGCTCTAAAAGGCCCCAACAACAAAACGTAAAACAATTCAAACGAGAAAACCAACGGCCTGATTATGTTAAAAACAACAAACGAAAAACAAATATGATATACATCAAGAAACGACAACCATTGAATTACAGAATCCCGACTTGGGACATGCACATACGGAATGTGGCAGTGAAAAAAAAAACATGTTTGCGGCCAAACCATCACCCTAACATGAACAGTATATTATATCGCTTAAAACTTTATTTATCGATGTTCAACAATTGTTATGTATAATAAAGCTGAAAAAGTATGGTGTTAAAAATAACATTTTCATTTTTTTTTTATATCAGTTTCAATGTCATCCAAGGCTTGCCCTAATAAAAAAGCTGATCAACCAGTTTCACCTTGACCTTTCAAGTTCTTGACAAAATTAAGTATGTATAGCAAGCTTAGATTTGGACTACATTTTTGCCTTCTTTGATAATTGTGAGAGATTTGCCATAACCGATGAACTGTCTGCTGGAATATTTTTATTACAATATAATAACCGAGTCACGGTTTGAATTTAGAACAGGTTCTGGAACAACTTATGCCATCTTCGCACTCCTTTCCTTAATGTCTATAGTCTATGCAACTGCAATAAAATCTTTTTCCACAACCTAACCGAATATTAAATATTGTGTTATAAGCCTGGTATCTCTAATGAGTTCTTTTGACAATCACTTGGTCGATGCCACTGCTGATTGCGGTTTCTTCTCCGAGGCTATCACTATTCCAGTGGTCAGTACTTCTGTGTTGACATAAAAGATTATTGATATGGTCATACAAATACATATACTGTTTACAAAACTTTGAATTGTTCGAAAAACTAAGGATTTTCGATCCCAGTAATAGAATACATCAGCTGTATTTGCTAAAACATTTGGAATTTTTGTCATCGATGCTCATCAACTTCGCACTTCGAACTTGATTTGGTCTTTCAGCTTATTGGTTCGAGCGTCACTGATGAGTCTTTTGTAGACGGCGTTCACAATTATAAGCTCAGTATCTATGATGAGCTTTTATTTTTTTTAAGCAAACCGGGGTAGAAAAATATAATTCCATTAACATATTATTTCGTTACGTTGTCAAGATGTATGATTACACCAAAATGTTATTGATATTGATTTGTTTTTGCAAGACATTTTTTATAGAATGAAAGTTACATTGTGAGTGAAATGAATGCCTTTTTCATCGAGTCCCCAAACTGTCAATGTTATATGTATTTTATAGGTATATACCTGATCCAGGTACAAAAACCTGTTAACTATATGTATAAACCATATATTTGTAGATATAGACTGCACACTGCCTTAACATTGAAAACGGAAGATTTTATAATAGTGAAAAAGAATATTTTGTAATAAGTGTGATTAACATCTGATTTATCTTAATCTCCTTATTTTTATAGTGTTATAAATGTATACAATTAATATAAAAATGAGGAACTGTGTATGATTGCCATTTAGACAACTATCCACTAGAGTTATCAAAGTACTGAAGTACTGAACATCGGATGACCGCAAGTTCTGGTGGATGGTCACAAGCACTTGTCTCAGAAAAAAAAATCATATCTCTATACCTGAAAGTTAGGTTAAGGTACATAGATATATTTTTTTCTGAGACAAGTTCCTGTGCGGATTATGAATAAATGACAGGGATTTCAACCTCACCGTAATAATTATTATATCGTAGTTATATAACCATGGAACAATCATATGTTATCAGCATAATCTTGTTTGCTGTTATAAATTATATTAATATTTGTATAACAGATAATAATATATATAGCAGATCATCTTAATAACTCTACAGGCATAATTTCATCCATTTATATATCATTCTATTCTACTATTCTAATGATAGTGCAGTGCAAGTGCATGGTGGACACTCCTCTGTAATGAATTAATTCGATTTTCTAATAGATTGGAAGGGGGCATTCATATTTTCCCGCTTTTGTTACAAACCGTTCTCGAGATATTCTTCCGCATGCGTTAACACAAATTTTCGGTATTCATGATTTTATATATTTCTCACGACAAAACATTTTCATACCATTTATCTATGTTCTTAAAAATTATTTTCATGATCATGAATATTTATTGATGAAATTAATATATAACAAGCGATAAGGAATGTTATTTTGCCCTCGATAACATCCGTGTAATTATACCAAATAGGTTCAGTTATCAGTCAAAAGCGTAAGGAAATTTCTGCGGCAACATCAAGGTCACATCCGATGTGAAAATAAAGTGATTGTAAGCAACTATAGGCAACCGTAGGGCTTTCAACAATCAGAAGAAACCCATAACGTATAGTCGGCTATAGAAGGTCCCGACATGAAAAAAGTGAACCAATTCAAACTAGAAAACCAACGGCCTAATTTATAACAAATCAATTTACGAAAAACATTCCTATCCACGTTACATGTTACATTTTTCACTTCCAAACATTTTAGGGGGGAAAGGGGGTCAATAAACCGTTATTTATACATCCAACCGTACTGGTTACCAGAACTTTGGATACACAAAACAAGATAGAAAACTCATATCTGAGAAACAGGCAATATATGCCATCAATTTTGGAATTCATTCATACATTTTTGTATTATTCAAAGTTTTCAGTCAACATGTGTTCTACAAGGATCACCAGTCCTTCTACATTTAATTTGGTACCTTAATTACAAAAATATATTCTACATAGTATGATATTCACACTTATGCGTAGGAACTATTTTGATTTTGAATATGTACTACTTTCTAAGTATGTTCTTTTGTGACCGAGCCCGATTTGGTGGTATTACATCTTACAAAGTCTTTCCAAATTAATTTTGCAAAGAATTCCGCTCAAGCCGGTGCTAGGGGCCGTCTTAAATTTGCAGTGAGATGAGAGTTTTTTTGCTCCGTGTTGAAGGCCTCATTGTGACTTTGAGATGAAGATCAGCAATAAAAGTGACGTTCTTTTTCTTTTGGTGTTTTTTTGCTGTACATGGACTAATTTTGTGTCATGGATGGATACCCCATATTCTTTGTTTTTTTCTATTCTATAAAAGGAACGATAGACACAAAGCTAGTTCAAAGCCAATTGCAACTAATAAATAAGTCATGTTCTCACAGACTAAAGTTTCAATCATTAAACATCCAACCGATTTAATGTAAAGTTGTCAAGCAGTCTGAGGATCAAATAATCTTCTGCAATGTTAAAATATAAGTGAACAGTATCGATAGGATGTAGAATCTTGGTCTGTTCATAACCTGTAACATCAAAGAGCTTAACAATCTACGTAAATACTTTTTTTATAGCTGGTAAGATTCGTTATTCATACTATAATGCTCATATTTCATTATTTATATAATTTGTTGTCATTCTCCGCTATCGATTTAATGATTCAAAACTTGTTTGTGATTTCAAAACACATATGTAGTTAATCACTGATGCTATTATATTTGTCTATGTAAATTCTATAAGCTGAATTGGTTTTGAATAAAAGACTATTATTATTAGTATCAGAATAAAAAAAAAATTAAGTATGATTAAAGCTTTTATCTGATCCATAAAATTGCAAAATAATGTTAGTTCTTATCATAAATAATTAGAAAGACATGTTTGCTTTTTTTGTATGCATATATGCATGGTTGTAAGTAAAAACTTGAAAATTGTATTTTATTTGTTGCAAATTAAACATGTATCTAAGGAATATAAAATGAAATGATTGACATTTTTGAATATTGCTGTTCAATCCCTACTTTTCTGTGTATTTTGGCATGGCTATCATTTATTGAAACTTTGCAAGAGGCTTTTTTCAATGATTAAAAAAAAAATATGAGAAGCTAAATTTTGAAATGTATTTTTGTTTCTTCATATTTTTATTAATAAATAGTCATTTTTTTTTTTGCAGTAAACATTTACATACAAGTTGGAGCATATTTTTTTTTTTTACAGAAAATGAACACTTTGCTTAACTATCCGTGAATGTTTCGAAATTTGGACGGAAGCTTCTTCAAGAAAAGAGTTGTCTTTTTCTTTCTTTTCCCGTATTTTACTGATACATGGCATGGTTTTTGGCAGTCAGCATTAAACTTTTGTACTGACAACAGCAATAGCAGGCGATACACATGTTTATAATAGGTCTATTTATCTGTAAAAGAGGGGAAAATGAAAAATAATATTTTCAAAATAAATTTTGCTCTGGATACTGTCTTTTGATCATGAAAAAGCTTCTGTTCAGACATGATACATGACGATTTGACAACGTTATTGGTTTAAAAAAAAACAGTATCACACTTAACCTAAATGTTGACGAAGCCGACTAAGGAATATAGGACCGCCATGTCTCGATTTCAAGACACAGATTTATCGAAAGACCGTTTCTGCGCTTTAGAAAATATCTGTGTAATAAACCTTAACATGGGTTGAAAAAAGAGAATACTCTCAAGGTCACATCCGATGTGAAAATGAAGTGATTGTAAGAAACTTTAGGCAACCGTAGGGCTTTCAACAATCAGAAGAAACCCATAACGTATAGTCGGCTATAGAAGGCCCCGACATGAAAA